CTCGCTTCTTCGAGCCGAGCCTCCTGCGTTGACTAAAGCTTTGGCGGGCTGGGTACACCTGGCGCACCAGTCTGCTCACCCCTTTCCCGAATGAATCAAACTTGTCGTGAAGTCCATTATACCCTGCCTGTGGTCCAGGCCCCACGAGCTCGCCCTGGCCCTCCGCGGTACACAGGGTTCTTGACACCGGGGCGGCCTCGTGGCACCATTTCGGCGTCTCTCGCAGGTCCTGTCATGTGGTCCATGCAGGCCCAGGCTACAGCCCTGGAGTGATCCGCAGCAGCGGTTCCAAGCAACATAAGGGCAGGCAAAGAAAGGGACCCTTAATCAGAATCCTCAAAAGAGAGCCAGCTGCCGGACTGTTGTGACTAGAACGAGTACCGCGAAACCAGTGAACCTTCTGTTGTCGTCGGTGATCATACCTAAGATAAGAATCGAACTGCAGTATGTCATCCCTGAGTCGTGTCGGTATCAATGCAGTGAACCGCAACAGCCCGAAACGAGTTAAGAGTACCGCACCAGGAAATACAAATGTCGATCCGCTCAGTACGGTACCTGTTTCGAACCTGAAAATTAGTGCCAGGCTACAGTACCACGTCGATGCCGAACCAATAACTGTTCCAGAATAAAAGTGCTGCCTGTGCCAGAATAAAAGTGTTGCATGTTCCAAAGTCGAGCCGATGACCGCACCATATCAACCATGTCGCCGTAACCCGAAAAACAGTCCCGCTCACTCAACGATATCCAAATTATAGTTACAGAAATGTTCGGATGAATCGGGCAAAATCGAACGAGGGTTTATAGTTATCGAGAAATCGTTCGAATCGACAAACCTACAGTAAATAAATCATTTCTGGTTAAAAATCTTGAAGGATAAATTTCGATGAAAAATTAATAAAATAATAACTAATCATTCGTTTTTTGCTCTTTTATTATTTTCAATTATTTTTCTCATTATTAATTCTGTTATTGGAATCAATGGAAATAGAGGACAATTTTATCAAGGATAAAATCTGATGAAATTTAATTAAATAGCAAATAGTCCATTATTTTCTTTCCTTTTATTATTTTTAATTCTTTTTCTCAATTTTTAGTTTGATTATTATAACAAGCGGAAATTAAGGGTTCATTTCCTCGTCAATGGTCCAGTGTGAAAGAAGCATGCCTACGCCTAGCACCGTATCCCGGCTTCGCGGCCGGCCGCATCGGGAACAGCCTTGGAACGAACGGAAACGGTAGGTGTTAGGGGCGGCAGGCGTGGCTGTTCATCATGTTAATTTCAAGGGTCAGTTTTCATGATCGATGGAGGGAATTTTAGGGCCCCTTCTCCGACCCTTAATTTTTCCCGACAGCTCTGATGAAAGTGTCGGCTGATTCTTCCCTAGGCATTTAACTCAAGGCCCAATCCTTTGTATTTCGGGTGGCCGACTGGTCTGCGACTGCCCGACAGTAAGCCCGGACCTCTTCTCGACGCCACTGTCGAGTCCCTGCGGTTTGGTCAGACAAAACGTATAAGATTTAAAGTGACCACTCGCGCGCGTCGCTTGTGTCTACGTTTATCTGTCCTGTGTTTAGGTTCTCCGAGGATTTTGGGACTGAGAGGGTGCTTCTTGCCTTTCTTATGTCACAGTCGTTTTGGCTCAGATATAGGAATGTTTCTCAGCTTCTTTCTACTTTGGAATGGAAGTGTCCCGGAAGCACCACCTCGCCTAATGCGGACTCTCCGTTTAGGTCTACGTAGTACGAAAAACCATTTCTTTTTCTTCCCTAATGTCAAGCCCTTTGCTTTCCTGGTCTCCACTATCTTCCTCTTCTTCGAACTCTCTCCTACTTCAAACCATCTGGATGGTGCCTCATCCGTCATCTTGGCTTTCCCCTTTCCCTTGGGGTCTGACAATGTTGGTGTAGGGGTAGGGGTTTCCCTTGGCCTGAACAACTTTAGTCTAGCCCCTGCCACAGGATCTCTCCACCTCGACCCATCTAATTCAACGATCATATAGGCTCCCCAGTCGAGTGCTTCGACTACGCGGTAGGGCCCCATCCATCTATTCGCCAACTTCCCCAGCCACGTCCTCTCTAAAGTTGCGCCGTAGAGAAGTACCATATCACCCACACTTATCCTCTCTTTTTTAATTATGACATTCTTGTCCCATCTGACATAAGATTGTCTTCTAACCCGTAAGCTATTTGTCTCGTTCGCACAACTAGGAGCTCCTCTCGCGACATGTTGTCTGTCCAGTCGACGGTAGTCCAGCTGTCGACATGGAACTCTACCGGCAGGGGGCGCCTTGCTGCAAGTGCCTCGATGACGAAGCTGGAGCGATGGTGTCACAGGTAAGCTCTTTCTCATGGTGCCCGGTACTAACCTGTGAAAGGTGGCGCCTTGCTGCAGGTGCCTCGACAACGAAGCTGGAGCAATGGCGTCACAGGTAAGCTCCCTGGCCTCCGCCACTCTCCCTCTCTAACGCTACTCTAAGCGCCCAACGCTGAAGACTACTCCTATCTACTACTACTGCAGCGCCCCGCAAAGTGCTGCTGCCGAATCCTGAAGACTACCTCCTGAACTGCCTGCCCCCTCCCTGGCGGACCAATACTATATAGTGCTGGTCCGGCTGGGAGGCTGCTCTTGCCAATGCCGAATCGTGCCAGACCCTGGCGTCCAAGTTCAAAAAAAGCTTGTCTTCAAACGGGCCCAAAAATGGCCCGCGCTTATCCCTAGTCTGGCGCCTAAGTTTCAGGAAAGGTCGACTTTAAGAGGGCCTAACATTGGCCCTCCTTTTTAGGCTGAAACAACACAGGGTCTGGAGGGCCCTTACTTATTCCGCCTGGTCGGGCCCTGCAGGCCCATGTGGGCCTGGTGCGTAGTATGCCACATCCCCCCCTCCTTGAAAGACCGAGCTTACCTGCAAGGGCAAAGCTGTATGTCGGAGGGAGGGACCAAAGTCCGGGTGGGAGGGGCAGGTTGTGAAGCTTCCTTAGCTAGTCTTCGCCGCTCATAGTCGGTGTAGATCAGCGGTGCAGATGCTTGCAAATCTGCTCGTGAAATCCACCTTGTGTCGTCGCGGTTGCACCATTTGAATGAGACCTTGTACTGCATCGGCGTGGTGTCGTACTTGAGGTGCGTGACAACGCGATCGATCTCCTGATGACCATCCATGGATGGAGGGTCTTATGATCGTCGGTCCGGGAAGTCATCGTCCTTGGATGGGATGTATGTCGCCAGCTTCGAGGCGTGAAAGACTGGATGGACCGGCATATGCGGAGGGATGTCGATCACAAAGGATGGGCCGTCGGGCTTGTCACCTACGGCTGAAAGGACGGTCCATGGTCCAAACCACTTGGGGAGTAGTTTGCACGAAACATCCTGTTCAAACGCAAACTCTTTCGTGGAGACCCAAACAAGATCGGCGGCGTGGATGGGACACGGCACGTGACGCCTGTTGGCTTGCTGTTGCATGCGGACTTGAGCCTTATGCATGTTCGCACGGGCTTGAGTCAACAATTCCCTGTACTTTCGGAGGGAGGCAGGAGAGCAAGCGGCGCCTATGTTGGTAGTTTGTGGGAGGAGAAGATCAGTGAAGATACGACCTTTCCGGCCACCGTGGTGCAACTCGAATGGAGTCACGCCGATCGCCGGATGCAACGTGTTGTGGGCGAACTCGATGTCGGGGAGGCGGTCAACCCAATCCTTCTAATCCGGATGGATGAGCGTACGAAGCATCATGTAAGCAGTCTGATGTCCTCTCTCCGTTTGCCCGTCCGTTTGTGGGTGTCGAGCCGAACTTGGTTTCATTTCGGTGTCGGACTGTTTCATGAGAGAAGTCCATAATGTCGACATGAACCGAGTGTCGTGGTCGCTAACAATGTCTTCCGGTACGCCGTGGCTGCAAATCCAACGGTGTGCAAAAGGCGCGCAAGTTCGGGAGCCGTGGCGTAGTCCTTGCAAGGGAGAAATCGCACGTATTTACTCAATCGATCAACGACCGTGAGTATGTCGTCGTGCCTGAGGCGGTCGTCGGGAAACAGGCCGGTGATGTCCATAGCAATGGAGAGGCCGGGTTCCCACGGCATAGGCAACGGGCGCAACTCGCCGTAGGGATTGCAGTTGAGGGGCTTGCTTCATAGACAAACTTCGCAGGAGTCGCAATACCAACTGACATCGATGATGATGTCAGGCCACCAGAATCGTTGTTGAAGCCGTGCGATAGTCTGATTGACTCCGAAATCGCCAACGAGTCACGAGTTGTGGTACTCGCCGAGAAGGCGAGTCCGAAGACGACGGTCTCATGGGACGGAGAGTAAGTCCTTGCCTCGGAGTGGAGAAGCAAGTACCTGTCGACGATGCGATAATTGCTGGTCGGCGGGTGATCCGAAGATAGTTGCGCATATAGTGTGGCGAAATCCGAATCGGACTGGTAGCCCCGAACAAAATGTTGTTGGAGTTCGTCGTCGAATGTGAAGGCATGATGTGTCACAGTGCAAAGATCGAGTCTTCGCGAGAGTGCATCTACTGCGTGATTGGAGAGGTCGGCGAGATGTTGGGTGTGAAGTCAAATTGGTCGACGAAATACATCCATCGTCCAAGAGTGTTGCTCACCGTATCTTGTGTCTTGTAGTAGGTCAACGGGTTGTTATCCGTGACCCATGTGAACCTACGACGCCCAGGGAGGAAGTTTCGTCATCGCTTAAGAGCCATCACGAACACGAGCAGCTCCTTCTACTTTGCACATCAAGTGAGTTGATGCGAGGCACCTTATGGCTGAAGGACTCCATGGGATGCCAGTCGTCGTCGTGGTGTTGTTCCAATACTGCCCCAAATACCGTTGTCGGAGGCCTCGGTTGTCACTCTTGTTGGCAAGGTGGGGTAGTAGATGCTTAGGACGGGTGCCATGAGCATGGTCGTCTAGAGTGCTTGGAATGACCGGCTCGCTTCGTCGTCGAATACGAATGGCACCTTCGGCGATTGTAATCTCGTAAATGGTGCAGCAATCCTCGAGTACCCGGTGATGAAACGTTGGTAGTAGCCAGCCAACCCCATGAATGAGCGAATGTCCGTGGTGTTGGTGGGCTCGGGCCATAAGCGGATGGCCTCAATCTTGTCCGCGAGTGGCCTTGTGGCGGCACATAATGGCCCAAGTATTTGAGCTCCTCCCCCGCGAATTCATATTCGTCGTGGTTGGCTTTGTACTTGGCTTGTCGTAGCCGCTCCAAAACAGTGCGCAGGTGCTCCACATGCTCGTCCAAACTTTGGCTGTACACCAAGATCTCGTCAAGGTAGATGAGTACAAATTTGTCCAGCATGTGTCGGAACTCCGTCATCATAGCCGCTTGGAACGTGGTTGGGACATTTGTAAGCCCAAAAAGCATAACCAGCCATTCGAGATGCCCATATACCGTCTTGAACGCGGTCTTGTAGGGGTCCTCCTGTCGGATGTCGAGTTGGTGATATCCCGATTCGAGGTCAAGCTTGGCGAAAAATTTTGCGTCGCCCAGCCATTCGAGGAGGTCGTCGATGCACGAAAGAGCGCCGACGTTCTTGACGGTTTGCGTGTTGAGCTTGCGATAATCGATGCATAACTGCAATTCCTTGTTCTTCTTCCGGACGAAGAGAACGTGAGTGTCGTATGGCGAAGAGCTAGGCCGAATCCAGCCTTTCTTCAGAAGGTCGTCGAGTTGAGCGCGTAACACACTTAACTCTTCCTCGCTCATGCGCTAGATGCAACCACGCGAAGGTACGGCCCCGGCCTTAAGGATGATCTCGTGGCGGATTGGCCGATCCGGTACTACTCCGTGCGGGGCTTCGAAAACGTCATCGTAGGCGTCTAGAAGCTCAATGATACGTTGGTCCGTCGATGCGTCCGTCGATGGGATGTCATGGGGAGGGAGGGGATGGAGAAAACTCACACCCATCTCCTCAATGTTGTCCCGGGTGATGGAAGCTCGAATGTTCGTAGCGGACACCACGTGACAGCTGACCGAAGGGTGAGGTGGAGGCACTGTGCACGGGGCTATACTCCGTTCCGATCACGAATGTGAACGGTGCGGCGGTAGAAGTTCACCAGGTGATCCTCGCTTTTCAGCCACAACATGCCCAAAATCATGTCGAACTTGGCGTCCAGTATATCGAAGGACACAGACTCACTTGCATGCGGGGCCACGTACACGGGGACAGAATCAATGCACCGGTCGATTGACTTGTGCATGTGACCGTCGGCTAACGTAACTTGCGTGAGATGCGACTTCCTTCGAAAGTGTGGCCCCAAGCCAGCGCGTACCAGAAAATCTTGGCTCATATAGTTGCAAGTAGCTCCACAATCGATCAAAGTGTTGCATGTCGCTTCTTCAATGTGAATGTGTATGTACAGCAATGGCGCATCATTGTTGTCGTACCGTTGTGTCTTAAACTCGTGGTCGATCTTCGCAAGGTAGTCGCGAAGGTCAACAACCCCTACTCCGGCATCCATCAACGGAGCTGGTACTGCAGTGTGCAAGTAATCCCACAATTGTGCCCTAAGCGCGTTGCCATGCGGTTTTCACAATCGATCCGTCGGGGGAAGGGGCATCCATTGGAAGTCTACGAACGTCAACAGGTCGAGTTTCTCAAGTCTTGACCATGACGTCGAATCCCCGGTGAAAGTTGGCGGTGCCGATGGTGATGAAACCGTGTATGCGGTGGAGTCTTGCACGTGGAGTGGCTGGTCCAAAGGTGGGACCAAGTGGACAGCGTAATCCTCGTAAGTGAACCGAGGACTTGCGACATCCGCATTCTCCCCAGATGTGTAGGAGACCGCTAGCAAGGCGGACGAATCTAGCGGAGTGAGAGGTGGAGTCGCCTCACCTCCCGCGCAACTCAGTTTTCCGAGCTGGTTCGAGGTCGAGCATCCTCCTTGCCTTGATCTTGGCATTGGGAGGTCTTGTGCTTGGTGCTATTGCACCAATAGCAGCAGCCATACCGGCTGCGCCACTTGTATTCGGCCTCGATCAAGCTAAACTTGACCAATGCTACTAACTGTCCATTTTTGGCCGGAGATGTGGTTTTCGTCTTCCCTTTTGGCTGCCACGCGGATTTCTCGTGTGCAGCAGCCCGGTTGGTTTTGATGATCTCATGAGCCTTGTCAATGATTTCCGCGAAGGTCGTGTATTGTTCGCGATCACCGAGTGTGAGGCTCAAGGCGGCACACGACCAGTTGTGGAACTCTCGGCGCAAATGTGAAAATGGCAAGTCGAGAGCGGGTGTTGCCACGATCTTTTGCCATTCGGTGAGCCGGTCGCGTATCAGTGTGTTGCCTTGAGTCATTGCAAAGAGGCGGTTGATGGCGAGCGTCGAGGCATCGTCAACAATGAGTCGCTTCTTCCATAACTTCGTCAAATCTTCCCAAGAGATCTTTTTGTGCAGGTCGGCGACCTGGACGCCGTGGATGATTGCCACGTGGCTGAGCCAGATCTGGCACCCGCCCTTCGCGTTGAGGAACAGGGCCGAGATGTACAAGTGATCGGGGACCTGATGAATCCGAAGTTCCGTCGTATAGCCCTGCCACCAGGTGACCAGGTCCTGATGCGTATAGTCATCAAACTTTTCGATCCGGAACATCGACATCTTGTACTGCCGCGATGCACTGGTGCTGCCATCGTTGTCGGGCGGCTGGTGTAGTTGTCGAGCCTCGTTCTTCAAGGTGTCGAGCTGCTCGCTGATGGAGGTTGGTGCGGCGAAGGTGCTGATATCGTCTAGCATTGCTAGTACATGGTCGAGTCGTTGCTCCAACTAGCGGGTTGAGGCTGCATTGCTGGGTTCGCCAACATCAGGTCTTGGTGCTGCTTGCTCCAAGTCCTGTACACGGGTATGAAGTGCCCGTGTGACATCCTCCTGCAGGTCCTTCTGGCTCCGCACTGTCTATCGGAGCTTCTCCAACTCTTGGTGTTGTTTCTCTAACTCGGACTGCAGGTGTAAACCAACCGGGTCACGAATTTAGAAAGAAACTCCTTGTGCTGCTCTTCCGGTGTTCCGTCGTCGCGGCCCTCAGATGGTTCAAAGTGCCAGAACTTGGGCCTGTCGACGCTGGTGGCTTCGTGCCGCTGCAGCAGAGCTTGGGCCTGCTTGCAGCAGGCCTGGGCATCTGCGTCAGCAGCGGCCTGAAGTCGCTGCTTTTCAGCCACCGCCTCCACTTCAGCCTGTAGGCGGGCAGCCTCGGTTACCGCCTGGCGTTGTTCCTCAACCTCGATCTGTGCAAGCTGATCTTGGATCCGCTGTCGGAACTCGGCAATGGACTTGCTAGCCAGTGTCCTGGCACGCCCAAAACTGAAACCGTCATGGTGGCAGGGCACTGCTGTTGTTGTGGCATTGCTGACGTGGCGCTGCTACTGACGTGGCATTGCTGACATCGCACTGCTGCTAACGTGGCACTGCTGTTGTCGTGGCACTGCTGATGTGGCACTGCTGCTGACGTGGCACTTACCAAACTTGGAACGCAGGCAAAGGGGTGGGTGGGAGGGAAACGCAGGAAGGTCACCAAACTGCACTTTCCATTCCGGTTCCAAACAAACCGAACAAAATAAAAAAAATAAAAGAAGAGGATCCCCCCCCCTTTTTCTTTTTTTTTTTTGAATCTGCCCATCGGCTAGGAGTGAGGCATTACGGAGGAGTGTTATGAGTGAGATCAAGGCAAGGTTTCGCAAAGTTTCGGCTTTCAAAAAAAAATGCGATCTTGAAAAAAAAAATTGCGCGAAATAGAATGGAGGTTCCACTTTCAAAGAAGAATAGATCCACTTTCCGAGAATATGACAACCTCCCTAGTTCACCTAATATGCCCAGAGTGAAACCAAAAAAACGAAATGCTAATATCTGAATTTCCGGAGATCTGTTGCGAAAATGTTTTTTGCAGAGATTTGACGAAACCCTACTTGATTAACTAATGAACAATCAATTAATCAATCAATCAACCAATCAATCAATCAAGTTGGCTCCTTGATTGGGCGGATCCTCTGATTGAGAGGTCCGCTCTGATACCAAATTGTCGCATACCGTAATGGTGCAGACCAGAACAAGAACCGACCTCTCTCACATAGTACATGATAGCGCAGCAGAAGGCTAAAATACCAATGATCAGACCCATCAATGTTGCAATACAGACCAAACATACATCATCATCATCGCAAGGTGTGAAGGGGCCTGGCGCTACACACAGGAGGAATGCGCGAGGTCCAGATAATACATAGATGAAGAGGAGGGGTATCAGACAAAGAGGAAGGGAGGATGAGGATGTCGTCAACACCAATTCTTCGATATAGGTCCCAAATAATCCCCATCCAATGTCGCTGTCCCAAAAGTCGAATCTGTATCCTAATGTCGTCAACATCCCAAAGTCACAGTCTTGAGTCTAGGCCAATCTCTGATTGCTGTAATTTTTTTCTTCTTGCCTTCGTCCTTCTTAATTTACTACATACCTAAGATATAACACCTCAGGCTTAGCAAATCCTGACTTCTCAGGTTTTAACTTATAGTTTTCTTCTCTTAAACCACCAGCACCTACCAATTGTCAAGGCCCGTGGCTCAGGCTACTGGTAGCCCAACTCATTGCCGAGCCTCGAACAACCAGTAGTACACAACGGAAAAAAAAAAAAAAAAAAAAAAAAA